GGGCGTTTCTTGGTTGGTAGTGTATTAGTTACTGCCTCAATTTCAGACCTTGTTATTGGTCTATTCAGGGATTCGACTCCTTCCTGGTTTAGTCTTGGGAGGTTATATATGTCCAGGAATTTATTCATTTCTTCTAGGTTTTCTAGGTTATTTGTGTAGAGGTGTTTACAGTATTCTCTGATGGTAGTTTGTATTTCTGTGGCATCAGTGGTAATATTCCCTTTCTCACTTTTTATTGTGTTTATTTGATTCTTTTTTTCTTCTAGACATTTATCTATTTTGTTAATATATTCAAAAAAAGCAGCTCATGGATTCATTGATTTTTTGAAGGGTTTTTTGTGTCTCTATCTCCTTCAGTTCTGCTCTGATCTTAGTTATTTCTTGTCTTCTGCTCTTGCTTCTCTAGTTCTTTTAATTGTGATTTTAGATCTTTCTTGCTTTCTCCTGTGGGTGTTTAGTGCTACAAATTGCCCTCTAAACTTTGTTTTGTTTTGTTTTGTGTTAATCGTTTGTTCTTTTTTTTTCTCTCTTGCTGTTTGTCATTGCAGTTTGGTGGTTTTCTGCAGTGGGTGTATTTGAGTCCTTGCTTTTTCTCTTTTTTTTTTTTTTTTTTTTTTTTTTTTTTTTTTTTTTTTTTTTTTTTGCCTGTGTCCCGTTAGTTTTATATTTTCACATGTTTTCATGATGGCAGATATTATTCTTTCACTTCCAGATATAGGATTTTTTAAGCATTTCTTGTAGGGCTGGTGTAGAGGGGGTAAATTCCTTTAATTTTTGCTTGTCTTGGAAAGCCTATTTCTCTTTCATTTTTGAAGGATAACTTTGCTGAATATAGTATTCTTGCCTGAAGTTTTTTTTTTTTCTTTTTTTCTTTCAGCACTAGAATATATCTGCCCATTCTCCCCTGGCCTGTAAGTTCTCTACTAAGAAAGCCACTGTTAGTTTGATGGGAGTTTCTTTATATATGACTAGGTCCTTTTCTCTTTCCTTTTTAAAAGTTATCTATCTGTCTTTAACTTTTGACAGTCTGACTTTTTTGGGGTTCAATATCTTTGGGAATCTCTGAGCTTTCTGTATCTGGATGTCTATATCTCTTGCAAGACTTGGAAAGTTTTCAGCTATCATTTTGTTAAATAGATTTTCAATGCCATTGCCCATGTCATCTCCTTATGGAACACCAGAAATTTGAATATTTGGTCACCTTTTGGTGTCCCATATGTAATATAGGCATTCTTTCTTCATTTAAATTCTTATCTCTGTCTATCTGTCTGTCTGTCTCTCTCTTTCTTTCTCTTTCTCTTTTTATGACTGGGTTATTTCAAAAGACCTGTAAACAAGTTCAGAAATTCCTTCTAGTCTGTTGTTGAAGCTCTTGATTGTATTTTTTATTTCAGTCATTGAATTATTGAGGTACAGGATTTCTGTTTGGTTCCTTTTAATGATATCTGTTTTGTTGAATTTCTCATTCAGATATGAATTGTCCTGATTTATTTAAATTGTTTTTGTTCTATTGTATCTCTCTGAGTTTCTTTAATATCATTACTTTGAATTCTTTTTCAGACATTTCATAGATTTCTTTTTCATTGGAATCCGTTGCTAGAGAATTTTTATGTTCCTTTGGAGGTATCACGTTTCTTTGCATTTCCATGTGTATTGTGTCCTTACATTGCTATCTGAGCATCTGGTGAAAGAGTTGCTGTTTGTAATTTTATGGATTTGCTTTCATAGGGAAATATTTTTTTCCTGTAGCTATATTGATAATGTTAGTTGGCTTGGTTGCTTAGGCTGCTGTTGTTAGTAGAAGCTGAGGTAAGACTTTGTTAAGGATGGGGACACTAGGCAGGCTGGTTGTTGAGCCCCAGTGGTGGTGGTGGTACCAGGCCTAGTGGTCAGTCCTTGGGCCCCCACATGCCCACCTGATGTACACAAGCACCAGTGGTAGTGGGTTTGGATGGCCCAATCCTTGGGCCTCCATGTGGCTTGCTTGGGTGCCAGTAGTGGCAGTGGTAGGCCAGGCAGGCAGACAGATCTTCTGGCCCTTGGGCAGCATGTGTGGTGTTGGTAATGGTAGTTGTGGCAGGTCAGCCCTCAGGACCCCTGGCACACACATGAGTGCTGGTGGTGGCTGTGATGGACTGTGCAGGCCAGTTCCCAGACCCCAGGTAGTGTATGCAGGTGGGTTCTGGTGGCAGTGATGAAGGCAGGGTAGGCAGGCTTACACTCAGGCTTCCAGGAGGCAGGTGCAGATTCTGATGTTGGTAGACTGGGCACATTAATTAATCACCAGGCTCCTAGATGATGTATGTGGGCACCAGTAGGCTGGATGGGCCTGTCCTCAGCACTCCAGAAAGTGTGATTGGCTACCAGAGGGGGTGGGCAAGGCAGATCAATTCCCAGGCCCCTGGTTCATGTGTGCAGGCACTGGTGAGGTTGATGATGGGTGTGGTAAGCCTGTCCTCAGTCCTCCCAATGGTGTGCATGAATGCTAGCTGTGGTAGGTGGGGCAAGTTGATGCCCAGGGCCCTGGATAGTATGCTCAGGCAGTAACAGTGGGGTTGGTGGGGTGGAATGGTCCCCAGGCCCCCTAAAGTATATGCAGGTGGGTGGTAGCCCTGATGCTGGAGGTGGGGGGCAGGTAGGATTGCTATCAGTGACAGTGACCCCAAGTAAGGGACTCTCAGGCTTTTGGGAGCATGTGCTTTGGCTTCTTTTGTTCTGGGAGCAGCTTCCCCAGTGTGCTGCACCAGTTGTTCCCCAGAGTGTAGACTGAGTGAGCTAGAGTGCACTACAACACCACTGCCCTCTGAGTGGATATTGGGTGATGTCATCAGGGCTGCAGAAATGTGGAGAGCAGGGTCTGTTGGCCCCAGCACAGGACATAGTCTAATGGGGGCTGAGATCTCAACATGGTACTGTGCTGTTGAGAGAGAAGGGGCTGGGACCCCACACGAATTGCCTGTCTGGAGCAATGCCATCACACAGACTCCAGACAGCTCCCTATACTAATCTCAGGGCTGGCAAGGGTAGTGGGGGCTGTCTTGTGGCTAGGATTACAGGAGTTCACAATAGGAATATGAACCACTGGATATCTCTCACTTAACTTTTCCTGGCACTGGGGAGTTTCTTCTGGCTCTGAGCCAATCCTGGCTGGGTCATCTGCTTTACCTCCCTCCTCTTCTCAGGGGTTTTCTGTCACTTGCCTGCTGAATTCCAGTGGTCTCTCTTAGACACTTTGTTCAACATGTGATTATCTACTCACTGTACTGGTCCTTTTTAGAGGAGGTGAGTGCCAGGTGCCTCTAGCCAGCCATCTTGAAGCTGCTCCCTCAATGTATTCTATTGAAGTTTTAAGTAGAGATTTTGGAGAAGTATGAAGACTTTTTCCAAAAATAGAAAGTAGAAGAAAGAGTTGCTTAAAGGAATAGAAACAAAACCTGTTCTTTGCAGTCTTCTGTTTCTGTTTGCAATTGGGCTCACCTGTAAACAGGTCTGACCATCCTAGAATAATTTGATGATGTGGTCTACCCTCTTCTTGTCTTCACTATTGTTCCCATTTACCTGTAAAATATTATTTTTAAAAAATAGAGGACATAGACAGTAACAGTTGATTATCTGGTTTGCTGAATTGCTGGCTTTTGATAAAATCAAAAGTGACTCGACAGAGGCAAAAATTGTTTTGAATTAATTGTTTCACTGTTGCCCTCTGCTGAGTCAGAGTTTCAAGCAGAAAAGTGAAATCCAGTGCTTCCCCTGACTAATACATTTGTTATTAAATTAAGAACATATTAGCCTTTTTGAGGTCATCCAGCCTTATTCTTGATGTTCTCAGATTTTTCCCCGATCAAAGTACCTGATGAATCACTGAAGCTCTTTGGCTCTTTACAATTCTTTTCTAAGGAAAGGAAAACCGGAAATTATTTGGAATAATGAAAAACTGTCTCTTGGGAGAATATACTAACTTCTCCTAGGTTAAGTTTTAATAAGGGAGATAGGAAAGAATGGAGATGCTCTCACCTCCAAGTAATTAATTTAAATTTAGCTTTCGTGAAACTATTGTATTTGTTCATTGTCCATATTTAACTCTTGTTTCTCTGCTTGACCTTTCTTTATACCAGTCTTTGCTTGGACTAAATGAATTGGCTGATCAGTTATCCATTGCCACCAAGCATCAGTGATACACAGCAATAAGCATTTATTTCTCTTTCACCTGGGGTCAGCTGCTCTTGTCTGGGGTTGGCTGGCTGCTGGCTGATCTAGGCTGGTCTCAGCTGGAACAACTGAGGTGGCTCTCTCTGTTTCATGTGTTGCTCATTCTCCTTCTGGTTCCAGTAGGTGATATGGTTTGGCTGTGGCCCCATCCAAATCTCAACTTGAATTGTGTCTCCCAAAATTCCCACATGTTGTGAGAGGGACCCAGGGGGAAGTAATTGAATCATGGGGGCTGGTCTTTCCTGTGCTATTCTACTCATAGTCAATAAGTTTAATGAGATCTTATGGGTTTATCAGGGGTTTCTACTTTTGCTTCTTCCTCATTTTCTCTTGCCACCACCATGTAAGAAGTGCCTTTCACCTCCTGCCATGATTCTGAAGCCTCCCCAGCCATGGGGAACTGTAAGTCCAATTAAACCTCTTTTTCTTCCTAGTCTCAGGTATGTCTTTATCAGCAGCATAAAAACAGACTAATATAGTAGGGTAGCCTATAACTGTTCTTTTCATGTCACAGGTAGAAACACAAAAGAGCAGGTAGAAACTGGCAGACCATTCTACCTGGCACACTATCTCTTGTGCCTTGTTTATGGACCCAAGAAGGTCCCATGGGGAAAGAAAATACATTCTTCCTATTCTGGGGAACCTCCAAAGTCACATGACAAGAGACATGGATACAGGGAAGGGAGAAGTATGGGAGCCTTATTGCCTCATCTACCACAGTTGGCTCAAAGAAACCTGCCAGGAGAGAAAATTAAATAAAATTTTCCTTCTTTATAATTTATCTTTTTCAGAAAAGCAGAACTGATGGCTCTATCTGAAGTCTTTCAGACAACATTCTTCTTGACATTGCTGTCCTTGAGGACTTACCAGAGTGAAGGTAAGAAGTGGAAAGAACAGTAAAGACAAAAATCACGCTGGGAACAAATGAGGTCATTGATGCTTTGGAAAAAAGTTTTCCTTTTTCCTTTGGGAATTATTTGGAGTTCATGAGTATCTCCCATGAGTCTCTCAGAGTAGTGGTTGCCTTAGTCTTGGCCTCTCTCATTTTGATGGGTCATCTTAATAAGCCACCCCTTGACCCTGACTTCCCAGTCAATGTACTGCTCATTAGGGGCAATTGTAAATGGACCTAATCCAATAGAATTTCATGATCGATATATTTTACCAGACCATCATTGAAGTAGTTCCTTCTGGGGAAAGACACTGGGTATACCACACCAGTACTGACCACTAGGTTAGTACAAGTTTTTATGTCCTTCAACTACATTCATTGTGAAGCTATTAGCTTTATAAAATATGAGTAAAAGCAATGAAAATATGAAGAAAGTATTTCAAGTCTCTGCAAGACAGTATGCTAAATGCTGAAATGTTTATAGAAAAATAATATTGTGTCACTTAGCTACTCCCCAAGGGAAGGTATTTTGAGATAAATCAACTTTTTAAATAAAGTCAATAAGAATTTAATACCTCTAAAATGTTTACTGATACTTTATTACCTTGAACTTGTTTAGAAGTAGATCTTAGATTGAGAGAGTTTCTATTGGTTTGTAATTTTTTATACCTTTCATGTGTATTTTACAAAGTTTTACATTTTCCTCTTCCTAAATTTATTCTTTGCTGTACTCCGGAGCTTTTTAAAGAAGAGTATTGCTCCTAGTAGTTACTCATGCAATTCCTGTCCACAAATTCATGAAAATGATTTTTGCAGGGAATATCATAGAATTTCTCATCTTCCTAGAAACTCTATGAAAAGATATTTGACAAAAGAAGGAAACATTGTTCTGATAATTGCCCAGTTCTCTGCCTGACATTCCTTTCACCTGGATTTATTTATTTTAGGTCCAGGGCACATGGGAAGACATTGCTATGCTGCTTCTTTTGGCGTCTTAAAAACCATAGTTTGTTGTTAGTCTCTTATTATCTGGGGCTGAAAGGTAGGAATTAGGATTTATCATTTGTAGTATGTATACCTCTTGCTCATTCTATCTTATTTGCTAAAATGTAAGCACAGTGTAATCAGACTAAGTGATCAAACCATATAATAAGAATGATTTCAAACAGACCCACTGCCCCATCTCTGGGTGTAACCGAAATGCAGGTTCAGTTGCTTGAGGCTTGCAGAGTCCAATTAAAATTAGCAAGGTCTGGTATAAAGAAACTGACTTTTTATTCCAAAGCTAACTTAGGGTAATAAGTACAGACTTTCCTCCTTAAAAGTACCACTTTGCTTTTGAAGCAGAAAGTGGGCACTTTTAAAGCAGGGGGCCTAGGCAGTAGCAGAAGTGAGCAGGTAAGGGTCTGCATACTCCCTTTGGTGCCTGATCTACTGGTCAGTTGAGTTGGCGTCTTCATGGGCAGAAATAGGCCACAAGGTGGCTGAAAATTCTCCACCTTCAGAGTTTCACAGTAGGCATACTTTGACAGTGGGAGAGAGTTTCACAGTGGGCATACTTTGGGTTGTAAATCAACTGTTCTCTCTCAAGGCAGTCTCCTGGCGGGTAAGAGTTCCTCTCTGGAGCTTCTAAGAATATCATTATTAATAGATGAGCTCATCCTGTAGCGAGTGTCTGGTGAAGGGGAGGTAAAAGGTTATAATTGCATTTCCAAAGGGCTAAGTAGGAAGTGGGCAACAGAGGGAAATGGAGAAAAGAGAAAATAACAATAAAAATAGTAACTCATTTCTTTTTCTTAGAAAAATGGGGGGACTCAGTTACATGGGGTCTCCAGGAAGTCCCAGGCATCTAACTCCAAGGTTTTAGCCCAGCTCATTTCTCTAGTGAAGTTCATTTTCTGATCCAGCACTATTTCTTATGTGCCTTCTATGTACAAGGCACTCTGCTCTCAGAATAAGCTCTGCTGTTCACTCTTTCAGCTTCTTTTGTTTAGATCAGACATGTCTTTCCCTGTTTGTCTATGAACCAGTCTTCACTTCTGCTTCCAGCTTTCTCTGTCAAGCATACCTTCTTTGATAATTAATCCTGCCTTTGCCCTGACCTGTACTGTTTGGATTTCGTTTCTCAATTTCTGCTGCATTTAACCAAGTACTTAGTAAACTCCCACTCCGACTAGTTTGTTTACCGCTTAATCACCCAGCCAGATTCAGATCTGGGGATTTATTCCAAATAACCTGGTTTAATTTCTCTAATCAACAAGGAAGAGCCAAGACTTTTTTCAGTTAATCCCAGGTACCTGTTTCCATCAGCCAGAGACTATGACTGCAGCATTTTGATGTATTTTCCTCGGTCTGCTGTATATATGTGCATATAAATAGAGATAGATAAATACATAGTGTATTTTTAAATAAAAGTTAAATTATAGTAGATATATACTCAGGATTTCTTTATTACTTAAAACAATTACTATAACATATGGTGAGTGTTATTCCTTGATATTAAATGTTCTTCTAGAAACAACATTATTTTTAATTGCTGCATGATATTCCTGCTTATGAATGGACAATGGTTTATTTCCTTGAGTAGTTTTATGGATGGTCAGAGAAACAGGGTGGGAAAAGTGGGAGGAGAGTATGTGATTAAATCCTGGTCTGTTTGATTCCCAAACCTGGCTTCTTGGCCACATTCCAGCGTTATAGAAAGAGTGCTGGACAGAGACCCAGGAGCCCTAGGTTCTGGTCTGATTGTGCGGCTGTGGCAAAGTCACTTCCCATTTTTTAACCTCAATTTCCGCATCTGAAAAATAATGGGATTGGATTTAAGAATCTTTATGGTTCTTTGATCTTTCTGACTTAACCTTGGTATTTTCCACTATTTCCAAAGGAAGTCCTAGATTGCTTTTTACAGGTTATTTTTGACTGATGTCAGTTGAGCACCTGAGTCATTCAGCACTCACTAATAGCATATGTTAATATAAGGTGTTCTTCTTTTGCCTGGAGCTTCCAAAAGTAAAGTTTAGACTGGTAGTTGACTCATTCATTCAGCAACCAATCACTGAATGTCTGTCCCATAACTGGTATGTTCTTAGTCTTGGTTTCTCTGAGCTGAGTAAGGCTGAGTCCCAACCTTGTTTCACTCACAGTCTACAGGGAGACAGACACAGAGACAGACTCTTACAGCATGTCGCAATCAGTGCTTGAAACAAGGGCTTAGGAAAACTAAGGAGGAATTGCATATTCTGAAGTATCATTATAGTGGAGTAAATCAGATTATCTTAAAGAAGCATTTCTTTTAAAATATAACTTATTATGTGATTCTCCAACTAATACATGTTTCTGAAGAACATTTACAAAATGCCGAAAAGTATAAAGAAGAAAATTAAAATCACCCAACCTCAGAAATAATTACTGTTATAATGACTGTTAACATTTTATTTTTACTTCCCTTTATTGGTTTAAAAAATAATATGTCCTTTAAAAACCATAAAATGGGGTACATATTTCAACATATTTTTTAAAGTGTATGAGAAAATCCAAGAAAAGTATATATGATTTAAACTTGGCAATAGAGTAAAAGTAGAGTTGGTAGGATTGTGGGAATTCAATTTCTGTGTTACATGAGCATTTTTATCATGAGTAATTAGTGACATTGATTGGTGTTACTCATTTGGTGAGTAAATTAGCAATATTAGTGCATTCACAGTGTTGTGCAACCATCACCCCATTCAGTTCCAAAACATTTTCATCACCCCAAAAGGAAACCAGTGCTTAAGCAGTTAGTCTTGATTCCCCTCTATCTCAGCCCCTTGGCAGCTACCAATCTACTCTCTGTCTCCATGGTACTTACTGTTCTGGCTATTTCATACAAATGGAATCACAGTATAAAACCTTTTGTATCTGGCTTCTTTCACTTAGCATGATGTTTGTGAGGTTAATCTAATTGTAGCATGTAGCAGTATTCAATTTATTATGACTAACGATCCTTCGTATGTATATACCACAGTTTGTTCATCTGGTCATCCACTGATGAAAGTTGTTTCCACCTCTTGGCTGTTATGAATAATGCTGCTATAAATTTCTAGACAATTATTTGTTTCAATTCCTGCTTTCAATTCTTTGGATTATATACCTACAAATGGAATTACCAAGTTGTATGGTAATTCTGTACATATATATATTTTTTGGAGACAGACTCTCACCCTATCACTCAGGCTAGAGTTAACTTTTTGAAGAACTGTTAAAATGTTTGCAACAAGGTGGAGCCATTTTACATTTTTATACGCAGTGTATAAGGGCTGTAATTTCTCCATATCCTCACCAACACTTGTTATTTCCATTTTAAAAATTACTATAGCCATCTTCATGGAGGTGAAATAGTACCTCTTTGTGATTTTGACCTGCATTTCCTTAGTGACTAATGATATTGAACATATTTTCATGTGCTTATTAGCTATTTGTATATCTTTCTTGGAGAAATGTTCATTCAAGCCTTTGCCTTATTTTATTTTATTGTAACAGGGTCTCACTCTGTTGCCCAGGTGGAGTGCAGTGACACGATCAAGGTTCACGGCAGCCTCTGTCTCCCAGGCCCAAGCCATCCTCTCACTTCAGCCTCTCGAGTAGCTGAGACTACCTGTGCCATGACACCTGGCTAATTTTTGTATTATTTTGATAGAGACAGGGTTTTTCCATGTTGCCCAGCCTCTTTTGCCCATTTTTAAATTGAATTCTTTGTCTTTTTGTTGCTGACTTATAAGAATACTTACGTAGAAGGAATACTAGAATGTTATCAGATATGTCATTTGTAGATATGTCATTTGTAGATATTTTCTCACATTCTGTAGGTTGTCTTTTCACTTTTTGATATTGTTATTTGATGCACACAATCGTTTATTTTGTGGAAGTTCTATTTCTTGTTGTTTTTGTTGCTCATGCTTTTAGATTCAGATCTAAGGACCCACTGCCAAACTCATGGTCATGGAATTCACACTGAAATTATAATTATCACCCTTGCCCTTCCCAGCATCACATTTACAAAATAACCCAAGGTAACTTTCTGAGAAGGCAGCTATTGTGGGTCTCTTTTCTTTTCTGGGCATTTGTGTTCATCTGACTTTCATAGAGTGAGTTTTCTGAGGTGTTTCTCCCATTTCTGACGTTGTGCCTCATTTGAATCTGAAGCTTTCTACCATGTGGACCAATCACAGGGAAAACATCATGTTTGTCTTGTATCCACCAGGGATGCTCCTCGGTTTATCTGGCTCCATAAAGAGCCCCATCCTGTTGTCTGTGTCGTGACCTTGGCAGGACTTAGTTGTTGGCGCCATGCAAAATACTTCTCAGACATTACATTCCATGCAAACTTGGATTGGGCCAGTGCTCCTGTCTTAACAGCTGGAGGACAGTAAAGGGGGACACAGGTGTTGGTATTAGAGAGATTCCTATTTAATTTCACATCGCTTTGTATATATTATTTACCCTAGTTGAGCTTGATTTCCTTAACTAAAAACTTGCTATCTTGCAGTTTTATAGTGGGTATTGCATGCGACAATGTAAGTAAAGGCCCTAGCACTGTGCCTGGTAAATAACATGTGCTCAATATCATTGTTGTTAGTTTTACTTCACTATGAGAAAAATAGCAAGTGCAGAATGGCAATTTGGGGACATTTTTTTCAGTATTGGAGATTGTTTCCATTTTTTGTTGTCAAAACGAGATAGCCTCTTACCATTTAATGTTAGAAGGGTTCAAATGATGAGGGGAAATCCCCCTGAAACTAGAAAAATGAATGCTTAAAAAATGATATCTCTTATGCTGTGATTTTATCGATGCAGGCTTCGTCTTTTCAATACCTTTGTACCACTCCCAGTTTACTTCTAATACCCTCACTGTTGAGATAGTTGAATCAGCAATACACAATTCTTTTTCAGTCTATATGGTGTTTTGCTCCTCTTAAGTGGAAAGTCATGACTTGTTCTTCTCTAAGAATCAGCAGTGACTTAACTCACTTAGGACCCATTCTCTCTCTAGTGCCAGATATATCTGCATAAACCTCTGTGTACAAGCCATTTGCAATGGCACCATGGTGCTTTATACACTCAGCCAAAGAGACAGGCTGCAGCTTCCCAAGGCCACCAACTTCATCACATCTGATTCGTGTTTGAATTCTTTATTCTTTTACAGACTGTGTTATACTACTAACTAGTGTAAAATTTCAATCTCTGATTATTTCATATGAGTTCATCATGTCTCTTGAACTAGCTTCTTTCTTTGAGCTTGGAACCTTGTCACAATTATTTTGTTTCACATCAAATGACTGGTATGTTGCTGGTCTCATCCAGAGAGTTCAGTTAATTCTTGCTAGTCTTTATCTTTTAAGTTAAATACATTGAGATACAAATGGCAATGTCTACAGATAAGATATGCTCCCACATTGTAGTCTTCTACTAAACAAAAAATACTTTCAAAAAAGGAAACTTGTATTTCTGATTTCCAGAAATATAACATTTCTATCAAAAAAGTTCCCTTTATTTTTTTCAGCCTTCTCATACATTTCCAAACCAGTTAGATTGTCTAGTAAAGGATCTTTCTGCTTTGTGTACCTGTTTATCAATGTATGAGCTTGCCAAATATTATTGAGCAAGTCACTTCATTCATCTAGGTCTTAATTTCTGTGTCTGCTAAGTAATTTCTAAATTATCTTCCAGTTTTCCAAGGTGTCTGATTCCAGGATGCACATATAAGCAGTGTTTTCCAGAGCTAAGTAATGATGATACTGAAGTGTAATTATCCCTGACTCCAATCATGCTCTTATTAAACATTATTTCATATCTCATTTTGGTCTTTTCAGTTTTGGCTGAACATTTACCATTGACTCCAGTATCACTTAACGTTTCCAGCAATTCTGCACATCAGAGTTTGCATTTACAATGGACTGTCCAAAACCTTCTATATCATCAGGAATTGAAAATGGTATTTCAGATCCAGATCAGTAGAATTGAAACATCCAATGTCATCTGGGTGGTAAGTAATTTTTTGGCTCAATATTTTAAAAATCATCTTTTAAAAAAGACACCATGATCAGGCATTCTATTCTAGCCCACTAGCAAAAAATTTATGATTTTTCTCCTTACAGTTTTGCCTTTTGTAGCGTTTCATATAAATGGAATAACATCTGAAAAAAAATCTCATTTTAGAAACGTATTAGCAGCTCAAAACCATTTTTCTAAACAATTACATTTCTGCGTTTTCAGTTAAGGACCCAGGACAACGTAACATGACAACTTTAGTTTGGTAGGTGGGATGGGATATTTTCTCCGTTTTGCCCTGTCTCCTGAGAAGACTATTGAGTCTGTCCTCATGAACACTGGATTCCAGAGAGCCACGAATATTAACCATTTCATTCCTTCTACCTCTTTCTTCTCTGTCCCCCAGAGATTTTCCTAAATAAGATGTAATAATTTGGCAACATTTTTCTTTCAAATGTAGCTTCCTGACATTTTCTTGGCTATACCCTGCTGAAATGCAAGGTAGAGCAAGTACTAGCCCTTAATGTTCTAGTCACCAAGGAGCCATGTTGGAGAGTAACTTCCTGTGTCCTTTGTTGCCTCACGTGGCTTTTTCTACAACAAATTAAGAAAATACTGAATTTCATACTCTTTTTGTCTTTGAATTCTTTGGGGTGGGTTTTTCACCTATCTTAGTTTAGATGGTTATTGGGTCTGTTTTGCCTGAGGTGTCCCCATCTAGTACACTGGGACACATTACTGGTTTATGATTTCCGTGTCTCATCTGGGCACTCTAGTAATCTATATGCACATAATGTCCAGCCATTTTCAGGAGATGTTTAAGGACAGTGGAATGTTTTCTCATTGAAAGGAACTGAAACCTTTCTTACAGTTAAGAGAAGCCTAGGACTGTGCTCGGGCCCTCTGTCAGCTTAGCCAGGTCCACTCTTCCCCAGGCGGTGGAGGCTTTGGGTACACAGATACAGCATGGTTCGTTCCTTTGGCAAAGCATAAAAGTCACCAGTTTTAAAATTCTCAGTTACTTTCCGTATTCATTATTGCAATTTGAGATCTGAGCAAGTTAAATAAAAGTTTTGACTCTGTCCATTTAGGATTCATACCAATTCTATAATTCTACCTTTCAAAGGGCAGTTTCCTGCAATGAGACTTAAGTAGTATGATGATTTTCAACAACAGCGATGCTTAGGTGTAGCCATTTACCCCTGTGTATCAGCACATCTTCCCACCATCCCTACTAGTGATTTTGATTTTTGTATTTTTGTTTCCTTGTTTGTTTGTTTTGTTTTTTTTTCCCCATTTATTTATTTTATTGTATTTTAGGTTTTGGGGTACATGTGAAGAACATGCAAAATTGTTGCATAGGTACACACGTGGCAGTGTGATTTGCTGCCTTCCTCCC